CATCTTAGATGACCGAGGAAATCTACACATTTGCCCATAAAAATGAGGCCTTGACTACGATTCGAGTTTATCCCCTGGACAACACTGCAGAAGATAAGCTCCTGTGCTTAATGTCGTGCGTGTGATACTTTAACTCTCCGAGTAGAGGAGAGAGCGATAAATCGCGTGCAAGCGATCAGAAATGCCAGTCTTTGACCAGAAGGGGTGCTTGAAGAGTATGCATACATTTGTGTAACTCTGTGTGTCCATGTGTGTAGGTGTGCATGTGAGTATGCTTGCATGGGTGCACTACTATGTGGGTAGCCATGGCTGCCTTGACTTAATGACAGCCGAGTTTTTAGTTTCTATCCAACTGCCGGAAAATACACGTATTCTCTGCGTGGACTCAAAGTTTGCCCATCTTCATTGAGAAAGCCTGTTCGTAATGAAAATAAGTTTGTACAAACAAAGCTAAAATGAATAGGGCGTTTACCAAATGGTAGGATAATCCCTCTAACCTTAAAAATGAGTGGGCATACGGTCTGCTGGAAATGAAAACAAAAAAACGAATTAAAAATACCTCCAATTTTAAACTACTACAAGGCCATTGAAAGTAGCTGAAACGGTACTGGTGAGTCTATCTGCTAACCGAGTTACAGAAGCATTCAGTGACGCAATTCTCTTGAGTGATCCAGAGTCTTCTATTTGAGTTGTCCATGACGAAGCTGGACATTGACTTCCCCTTAATCCATTGAGTCTCTTTGGCAGCCCCCACATGATGGAAGAACCCCTCTGGAAGCGAGGCGCACTTTGATTCATTGATAAGATCTTCACCTTTTTTCACCTTGGGATTAGATGGGCTCTTACTTCTTGTATGTCCAATGTGACCAACTTTCTCGAATGTTGTCATGCTCTGATGATGTCTGTCCGAACAGACGAGCACTAAGAACCGATTTGAAACTAGCAGGAGACTACGCCCCAAATCACATGTTCATTTTGATTGTACATGGCTTTTCTCCAAAGAAGCAATTGTCCTCACCGTCATCAACTTTTCACACCACATATCCCCAATTAGCCTCATCTGGGTGCACAGATTCCGAGTTGCAACCGGTACTTTCAAGAGCCAAATTGCACAAACTGCCCGTCAGATAAAGTTACCTTTCTGGTGGCCACGTTTTATGGCACTAAAAACCGTGCCACATGAAGAATTCGCTGCCACTTATTACATGTTATCTCAACAAGACTACGAAAAATGTCAACCAAGAGACTCTCTTGCTTTGCTTGCCTCACTGACCATGCGTCCATCCGACACACCGAAAGTAGAGCATCTTCACAAAATACTTGAGGATCACATTCATACAAGTTCATGTGTGTGACAGGAGTGAAACCAGGCCAAGAGATTACCTTCTGGAAATTAGAAGGAAGCAAGAGACCTGTTCAATTTGGCAAATATCGAATCGAGGTTCTCACGTTGGTGATTCTAACCCTCTACTACCCAAACCCCAGACTCACTGTATCGATGGACTCCTCTGCCAACTTGTTCGATTGAGTCACCGTTGAAAGAGTATCGTTACTGGTAGTCTCAAAAGTCTACTTAAATACGAAAAATAGCATAAATGGCCCTTTATTATGGGAACATACTTAGAAGCCTTTAGCGATTCTTGAGTAAGAATTTGAGTCACCCTTGGCCGACTAGGGTGATTCAAGTGCCGATAATGGAGAGTATTCCACGATGTAAATAGCAGGCCTCATGACTCAATTTAGTTTCATTTTGCATTGTCTCCCAAAAGGAATTCTAATCCAGGCTGTACCATATTTTCGACCTCGTTCAGGCCAACTAGTGTGAGTAGAATTCTTCTTGAAAAAGTACTCACATCTGTAAAGCCTACTTGGATATAAATTAAGTAGTATCGTTAATTTTAATAGCAATTACATATTTACCTTTTCCACACTTATACATTTAATGTGAATTTGAGACTTCTGGCCTACCACATACCCACTGAAAACCATGGCAATTTGAAGAGGAACGGTAACGTTTCATTGCGGCACTCACGGCCCGGTTTCTACTCTTGATGAGGAAGCGGATGGGACCTAGGCGAGGTTGAGACTGTCGTCCAGTCCAGTCTGGATAAGAAAGCATCATGTGAAACTCAATTGTCTTATTAGGTCTAGTCATTTGATTGTGGTTTCAGTATGATTACTATGATTACTAAAGTTCCTACGTAGATTTATTGCTGTCAGCAGATTATTTGATGGTATTGAGTTGAGAATAGACAAAAGAGTGCTATTTTGTGGATGTAACTTTTCCAAATCAAAATTGTCTCGAATCGTAAGAAAAATAACTATAAAGACTATTGAGGAGAGGCAAAACAAAGCCTTATACTTTGAGCGACTATAGAGACGACTCCAACAAAAGATACCATTTTGGTGTTAATGGACAAACTGCAACGTTGAAGACCGATTGCCGAGCACTGTTTAATTTCTACGCCTATAAAGTATCGTGATTCTTTGCCGCAATGTCTTGATACTGCATCTGATAGACCTAATGCGAGCCACTTGTTTTGGTTGGAAATAGACTTGGCTTCTATTGAGACGGCACATAAATCGTCCAACTTCAGAATCTCTTCTGGACTTTGGGAACAGCAGTCCCAGTCTTCAGGTTGAATGGAAATTCGTGATTCCAAGTCGTGCCGAGTCTGATGATGAGGCATTCGAGAGGCCAAGATTGCGCAGATATCGAGACCCTATACGGAATGTTGACTGAACCCTGTCTTTGGCCCCATCCGAAGTCAACTCAGAATTCCTGTCCAGGTTACAAGTAAAGTTGAGTCTTGGCTTGGCTGTTGTGCCACTATTTTGCCTACAGTTTGGGCCACAGCGTAGCAACCGTCCGGAGAATGTCACTCCTCGCGTTGTGTCATGCTGTCCAGTCTCGTGTTTCATGCGATACTGACCGAGGCGTAATATGAGCTTAAAAACAACGTCAAATGTATGAAACGTATTCACCATAGTTATGCT